CAGAAGACAGGGTTTCCTTATACTCCCTGTCCCCACACATGCACAGCCTCCCCCATTATCAACATCCCCCACCCAAGTGGTACATTTGTTACACTTGGTGAACCCTTATCAACACATCATTATCATGCAAAGCCCATAGTTTACCTCAGGGTTCACTCTTGGTATTGTACACTCTCTGGGTTTTGACAAATGTGTAATGACTTGTGGCCACCATTATAGTATCATGGAGAATGATCTCACTGCTCTAAAAATCTGTGTTCCACCTCTTCTTTTCTCCCTCTCACCTCACCCTTGGCAATTGCTGATCTTTTTACTGTCTCAATAGTTTTGCTGTTTCCAGATTGTCACATAGTTGGAATCATACAGTATGTAGCCTTTACAGATTGGCTTCTTTCACTTAGTGATAGGCATTTAAGGTTTCTACATGTCTTTTCATGGCTTGATAGCTTCTTTCCTTTTTTTTTTTTTTTAAGATTTTATTTATTTATTTGAGGGACAAGAGTGAGCAAGAGAGAGAGCACATGAGCACGAGCAGAGGGAGAGGGAGAAGCAGACTCCCTGCTGAGCAGGGAGCCCGATGCCGGGCTTGATCCCAGGACCCTGGGATCATGACCTGAGCAGAAGGCAGACACTTAACCAACTGAGCCACCCAGGTGCCCTGATAGCTCATTTCTTTTTAGCACTGAAGAATATTCCATTGTTTGGATGGACCACAGCTTATTTATCCATTCACCTACTGAAGGACACCTCGGTTGTTTCCAAGTATTGGCAATTATGAATGGAACAGCCATAAACATTCATGTACAGGTTTTTGCATGGACATAAGTTTTCAGCTCCTTTGGGTAAATACCAAGAAGCATGATTGCTGGATCATATGTTAAGACTATGTTTAGTTTTGTAAGAAACTGCCAAACTGTCTTCCAAAGGGGCTGTACCATTTTGCATTTCCACCAGCAGTGAATGAGAATTCCTGTTACTCCACATCCTTGCCAACATTTGGTGTTGTCAGTGTTTTGGTCCTTGGATTTTCTAAGAGCTGTGTAATGGTATCTCATTGTTTTAATTTGCATTTCCCTAATGACATGTAATGTTGAGCATCTTCTCATGTGCTTACTTGTGATTTTTTATCTTCTTCAGTGAGGTGTCTGTTCAGGCGTTTTGCCCATTTTTCAGTTGGGTTGTTCATTTCCTTATCGTTGGGTTTTAAGAATTCTTTGTTTATTTTGGATAACAGTTCTTTATCAGGTAGGCTTTTTGCAATTATCTTTTCCCCTTCTGTGGTTTGTCTTTTCATTATCTTGATGCACGGTAGGAATATTTACATCACAGAACTGGCAAATGTGACAATTGGGGCTTTCCTTCAGAGGGCAGTTGTTCAACATTTACCAGCACGCCAATGCACACGTGCATCAACCATTTATAGGGTGAACTATTTGTGCGCTCAAAAGTGTTCAGTCCCGTGGGGGAGGCAGACTCAGTGGATCACCGACTGTACTACAGAGTTCTGAATATCGGGATGGAAGCAGAATAAGGATGCAAGAGGAACATGGAGGAGGGACATCTACAGCAGCCATGAAGTTGGGATGGCTTCCCAGTGGAGAACTTGAGCCCTGAGCTAAGTATTTCAAAGTGAGTGGCAGTTGCCTGGATCCCTACTGCCCAATAAGGTAGCCACTTGCCCCATCTCGCTGTTGGAACTCACACTAGCTACATTGCAAGCAGTCAGTGGCCACGAGTGGCTGGAGGCTGCCACATTGGACAGAGCAGATAGAGAACTTTCCCTTCACCATCATAGAATGTGCTATTGGACCACACTGATCTAGACCCAAAAAATGGGGGAAAGGCATTCCAGGCAGAAGGAACCGGATGGAAAGACTCAGCGCTCTGAGACAACATGACTCATTCTGGGGGGGAGATGGGCGTTGTGGCTGAACAAACAGGCAACAGTCAGATCGCAAAATGGCATTACTGCCAAGCGGGGAGTTTAAACTCTAGCCTGAAAGCCAGTGGGAGCCCCTGGAGGCTTTTGAACAGAAGCCTGATGTCATCAGCTTTGCATGTTAATAAGGTCTCTCTGGCAGTCAGTGGGCTGGATCGGAGGGGCCAGCCAGCCCAGAGGCAGGCGGGGAGACCGGTTCTGAGACTGTTGCAGTTGCAGGGGGAGAGACAGGAGAGAGGCCTGAAATGAGATGGTGACCGTGGCACAGATGCAGGGGCAGGAGGGAGACGTGGATGACCCACTGGCTCATTGCATCTGGCCTCTACGAGGTGCTTTGTAAATAGTCGTTGACTTAATGAATGAATTACAGCCGAGCCCAGAGTGTTCAACAGGGTGCACATCCCCCTGGCACCCTGGGTAGTATCTATTGCACAGAGAGGTACAAGAGCATTTCTTTCCAGCGGAAGGAGGAAGGGCAACAGGGAGAGAGAGACAAATAAGAGAGCTGGAGGGGAAGGGACTTCCTCTGTCCTTTGTGATGGCTCCGGTGAGGAGGGAATGAGCTGTGGGAGAACCTTGACCTAGGCAGTGCCTCTCTGGGGCCCAGGGACAGGGGTGACTCAGAACTGAGTACAGGCCATTCTCCACCTCTCCTCTTCCCCAACCCCCTGGCCACATGGACTGCAGGGCAGAGTTGGTTTCCTGAAGGATCGGGGCATTTCATCAACATACAGATGCAACCCACAGCGGGTCGGCAGCATCAGGGAAGTCGCTGTCAGTGGAGGATGCTCGGGGACGATGGAACATGGCCAGAGTAGGAGGCATTAGCCGACTGGTTCTTAAACACACGGGAGATACCAGCCTCACTGCCTTGGACTCTCAAAGTAGCTGGAGATCTTGAGGGCACGCAGCTGAAAGCTACTGTAACTTGGGCATCAATGTTAATATCACCTTGTTTGCACCTATGGGTCCCTAAGGCCTGGGACCTTTGGGTTACAGAATGAATGATAGGTGACATGAGACGGTTTCATTTGCTTATTCATTAAACAAATATTTGTTGAGCCTCTGTGTGCCAAACACATGCTGGGCAGACGATGGTTCACAAAACAGAGATGATCCCTGCCCCAGGGAGCTCACAGTCTAATAGTCCAGCAGACCAGCTTATGCGCTGTTCAGGAAAAGCACCAGGAGCCACCAGGTAGTCCAACGGGAAGGATTCTTTTAGATTAGGGTCAGGAAAGGATAATATGAGAAAGTGACATTTAAACTGAGACCTGAAGATGCATAGGAGTTAGCCAGGCAGAGGGAACAACAGGTATGGAGGCTATGGGAACCAATCTGGAGGCTGAGAGAAGGCCAGTGGGTGGGAGCATGGCAGCAAGGAGGGGAGAGGCACAGAGGAGGCCAGAGAGGGAGGCAGGACCAGACCTCACACGGCCACATGGGGCCTTGGATTCAAATCCAAGTGCGGTGGCTGGCGGGGGAGTGACGTGATCAGGCTGGTGTTGTACAAGGAGCGCCCTGGCATCTGTGTGGAGAATGGACTAGGGACAAGACGGTATGCTGGGAGAAGCGTGTCCAGGCTCGATCGGTCGCCAAGGAAGAGATATGGTGGCACGGTTGTGGTGATGGAGAGACGTGGAGGAACCGGAGAAGTATTTAAAAGAACCAAGACAACATGTTTTTCCCTTGTCCTTGTTTTCGTACATACGGGCTGAAGCGTTAACTTTAGACAAGGCCAACAGCAAGTATTCGCCCAGGCCAATCTGTCCCGCCTGTGGCCTGTTTTGCTCGAGGTTAGTTGATCTAACGGTGCCCCGGTGACATGGGCCATTCCCTCACCTCCGAGCAGGACCACACCTGACTCCAGTGCATTTTATGTTTATAGATTTCCTGAGAAAGCTTTCACAACTTCTGTAACCTCTGCTTATCTTTAAAATAATCACCATTGGGAAACCCCTGTGTGTATTTTATCTGAATCCTTGTCCTAAAGTTTCTTGATTCTTGATGGAGATGGAGGCCCTGAAATTGGTCACCTGGGCCGGCAAGTGTGGATGATGTCATACTGGCGGTTCTGAATCATGTCTCATTTGTGAGCAACAGAGGAAAGTGCCTGAAGATCCCTAGAAAAGGGATCTCATCTGATTTTTGTGGCTCTCTAGCTCCCTGTCAAGTTCTGTGCCCTTGCTACTCAAAGTCTGGTCCGCTGACCGAGGAACATCAGCTCAGAGTGGCGGACACGCAGGACTGAATCAGAATCTGCATTTTAACACGTTCCCCAGGCAATCCATAGGCACTGAATTTTGAGAAGCACTGCCTTCGATCACCCTGAGGCCATCTAAAAGTGGGTGGGCAATGGCAGGTACCAGAGATTTCACATTGCAGCGAGCCTCAGCAAGTGCTTAGGAAAACTGAACCGGTTCAACAGGAACCAACTTTCTCTGGAAGTTCCCTGCCCTCAGGTCATGCAGAGCGGTTTCAGCTGAAGTCAGAGACATTTGTGCTGTTTCCCGGATTGTGTGGATTGTGTGGCTGGGAGGAGCGCTGGGTGGACACGCCCCCGGCGCTGAAACACTGCCTGGTGGAAAGCAGCTCCCCACGTGCTCCTCCAGGCAGCACCAGAGGCCCAGCAAGCCGCTTCCCAACACCCCCAAGTGTGGACAGTTCGGTCCTTCTCCTCTTAGCCTGGTCCCGAAGGGCCCCAGTTCTCCGTGGTTGGTTAGGGTGATTCCTGCGTCCTCCTGAATTGAGCCATGTGATGCACAGGGACAAGGCTGGTTTAGCACCAGACTCCCAGGATGGCCTGGGGTGGAACAGAACAGCCAGCTCCAGGAGTTTCGGAAGCTCTGCGCACACTGTGGGGCAGGCCTCCCCAGACCAGTGAGTGAGCCCCGCTCCCACAGACACGACACGCGGCCTGGCAAAACATGGGCACTTATCACTGCTTTCTTGAGAAGCGTTTCAAGGCACGAAATCCAGGCCAGGACCAAATTATTTCCCTCTCTCTTCACTGGGGCTGGTCCTCCCACATAATCAGACAAATGGATGAGGTTTGTGGGCTGTTTAAAGCATATGGTTTGTAAATACTGTAAAACCAAACATCACTTTTGGCTTTTATTTACTGTAACATGTTCACATTACCTAGCACCAAAATAGCTTTTAGGTCTTCTTTGCCTTGCTTTTCTTTCTCCCTGCTCTTTTGTCTTCATCCTCGTGGTGCCTTCGCCCCTGCCTTCCCCAGCGCTCACGTCTCTGCTCTAATTCCTCCTTCCGCACCTGCTCCGTCCCTCCTTCCCGTGCTTATCTGCTTGCTGACTCCTACTCCCATGTCTTCCTCACCTGCCCCACTTAACGTCTTGCCTCCTCTCCCTCCCTTTGTCCCTCTCACGCTGCTCCTTGATCTTTTGAAATGTCTTTGCCCCCTTTCCCTTTCCGTGCTGTCATTTCTAAAGGCTGCGTGCCAGACCCTCCTCACTCTCGCTCGACTCCCCCCGCCTCTCAGGGCTATTTTCTCTTCCCTCCCAAGACTCACCACAGAGCGCCTTCTTTTTCCCTTCCTCTCTAAAGACAACACAGGGATCACAGAATCATAGAATTCAGAGTCAAAGGGACACAGCCTACATTACACTGACAGTTACTTCTGAGTAGAAACTCTTCTCCTATCACCCTCCATAATGGCTGCCGCCGTCACTCCTTAGAGCAGGAAGGGCTGGGGGAGAAGACAAAGGAACGGGCCCACCTCACCCTCCATGCTCCCTCACCAACATGGGTACCCCACCCTTTCATTTCGGTCTCATTACACACACACACCCTCTTCTCAGGACCCTTGGTGCAGACGTGTTTGCTCCCGGCCTCCACCAAAACACTGAGTTTCCTTCTCTGGTGTCTCTGCTCCCCAGCCTGGCCAGTCCCCACCCACACCCCCAAGGGAAACACAATTCTATTGTGAGGTGGCAGGAGAGAGAGCGGCCCCACATGCAGGTACTGGGTGTGTGTGTTGGGGGGGGTGCTGTCAGCAGTGGCTCAACAGCCAAATCCAACAGGAAGCTCATTGCAAAGCTGGCTCCCACCCAGGGTCATGCTCAGCCAATCAATCAACCCATCAACAATAGCGAATCAACGCTCTTGTGGAGCGGGCTGCTCTCCGTGCCACTGGGCAAGGCATCCTCAAAACATGGGGAAACAAATAGAGACCCAAAGAGACATCCTGTCGCCATAAAATAACGGCTCTAAAATCCAGCTTTCTCAGCCGGGGCTTCTCTAAGCATTTTACAGAGTCTCAGACGTTGCTTTCTTGGTATCCCGGGAAACAGAGGTTACTCCCAAGTAAGCCACTGGAGATTTGTGAAAATCCTTCCGTCTCCCAGTGCTTGGCTCCTCGGGGTCTCCGTTTCTCCAGGTCAGCCTCGGGGAAGAGGACTAGCCGAGGAACACTCACTGGAGGGAGGTGAGGCCAGCCTTGCCCAGGCTTCGGAACACCTGCTGCTCCAGTCCAGTCCCGCCTTCTTGGCCCTTCCTGCTCCCAGCTCAGCCCTGTGGGGAGGCACCTTTATTCTCAACCCAGCAGTGCCCACCCTTGCAGAGCAGGAGGGAAGCTGCCCTGCAAACCCTCAAGGTGAGTAGGGCTTGGAGGTGAGCTCAAACATGCCCCACCGAGTCCAGCCCCACCCTGTGGTTCCTCGTCCAAGCCCGGGGTGCGGCTCTCCGCTGGGCTACTCTTGGTGAACATTCCCCAGGCCAGGAGGAAGCAGGGCCATCTTAGGGACGGGAAGAATTTGCGTTTCATGTCCCTGCCCCTCCCCACCAGCCAGCTTTCCCACTGCCTTCCACACACCGCTGAGGGGAGCAGAAAAACAAGTATGAATATCATTCTCACCTGACTTCCTTTCATATCAACTGAGTAACCAATGAAATCGCCAATAAATTACTATTAGAAAATGCGTGTACACAGAGGCGTAGGCGTGCGTGTGCGCGTACACACATATATCCGTATGCGTGGATAGTTCCCGCTTCTCTTCCTTGCCCCCTCTCCTGCAGGCAGCTTCACACAAAAGCCTCTGACCCCCCGGAAGGGCCTCATCGGATCATGGGCGCCACGTAGTTGGCAGGGAAGAGGCCCAGTCTGTTGTGCAGGCGGCCGGTCCACCAGGACGGGTTGGAGCTGTCCAGGACCTCGACCACCTCTCCACAGCGAAACCCCAGCTCGTCATCCTCGAGGGCCTCGAAGTCGTACAGCGCCCGGGCCCACCGCACTCGCTGTCGGGGGAAGCACAGAAGGGGCCCGCTGAGCCAGGGCCGGGGGGCCTTCGGAGCCGCTGTGGCTCAGGAGGGGTCCTGCTGGCCCCCGCGGCAAGAAGAAGTCCTCGGTGAGCAGCCTGCCCTGGAGGCGGACATCTGGCTCTCCGGAGACCTCCCGAACCCCACTGTGACGGGCAGCAGACCCCACTGCGCAGCCCGGGGCGTGGAGTTAGCAGAACTCAGCCGAGCCGCTCTTGAGACTCAGGACTTTTACCGACAGAGATGTTAGTCTCTGAGGCCCCAGGAGAATCCTTGACAGCTACTCTCCCTGCATCACTAGGTGGTCTTTTCACTCTCTCCAGGGGACAGGATGGCAGCGTGCCCAAACTAACAGCCCTCTGTGGTAGCGCAGCCGAGGCCGATGCGGCGCGAGGAAAAAGGCAACAGATCTCCCTCGGCCAGAGCCAGAGCCAAAAACCATGAGGACAGGGCAAGGCCCAGCGGCCGGACAGAACAACAGACCGGCATCGGCCCTGCCTGGGAACTCCTCCCCCCATGGCTCGCTGGGCTCCCACCACCTCCATTCCGAGCTCTGAGCGGCTTGCCTCTGTCCTGGAGGACCAACCATTTCTCTAAGTGCCCCTCTGGCTGCCTTCATCGAGCCCAGGGAGGGAAAGTTCACGTACCCCGGCCACTTGGAGCTGCACGGGGTCTGTGTGTCTCCGGTGCATGAGGGCCGGGTTCGTGTCGCCGCCCACGCCAATGCCACAGTGCCCATCGTTTATGTCAAGGCTGCCTCCTCGGCGTTCCTGGAAACACACGCAACAGAGGACCTGTCACCACACCACATCCCCGGCAGGCCCCCCGGTGCCTTGCTCAGAGGCCACAGACACAGCCAGTGTTCCAAGAACACGTGCTGCTGCTGATAAACCCCAGGGGTGGGAGAAAGGGGGAAGGGTGGCAAAGGGACCTTCGACTGTGAAGACAATGCCAGATTTCATTCATTCAAAGAATATTTATCAGGCACCTGCCATGTGTCTAGTACTGTCCTAATCACTGGGGACATGTAGCTGGAAAGAAAAGGGCCTTGTCTTCGTGGATCGTCAGTTTAGAGGGGGAACCATACACATTTAAGTGGTAAGCGAGCTGAGAGAAGGTCTAAGTCTGCCAGGGTAATCAGAGAAGTCTTCCTAGAGGAGGTGATACTTGAACTGTAGCTTAGAGGAGGAGAAGGATCAGCCAGGAAAGGGCATTTTAGGCAAAGGAAATAGCATATAAAAAGTCCCCAGGTTATGAGAGAAAACACAATTGACCGTTTGGGTAACTAAAGATAGTGCAGTGTTGCTGGAATGTGTGTTTGCTCAGGGAGTGGGGGAGGTGGAGGGTCGGAGGGGGGTGGGCTTAGGGCGAGGCAGCAGCAGATGAGGCTGGGGAAACAGATACGGGCAGCTCACAAAGGGCTTTGTGTGCCCTACCAAGGAATTTAGGAATGATGTCATCTGGCTGTATTGTCCGTCTCGGTAAGCGGCCCCAAATCCCATCTGGAGCAAGGCAGGAGACAAATAAATAAATAAGCGAGGCTCTGTTGCCGGTGTTAATCCGTTTTTCTTGTGGATCTCCACAGCCAGATGGGTTAAGGGGCATGAATAGATTTGGAAGTGCGCTGACAGGAAAACGAAGCAACGGCTCACTGTGTGTGTGTGTGTGTGTGTGCGTGCGTGCGTGTGTTCAGGCAGGGAGCCAATGAATTCGCAGGGACTTCTGTGCCAAGAGCAGTTCCCATATCATTTTATCATATTGCTGCCAGTTGGGAGGTCCCGGGTCGTCTTCACGAACTCTGCGAGCCGTCACGAGGCCGGGCCTGAGATGCTCCTCCCCATGGTCCCGGGACCACAACAGCCCCCCAAGCCTTTGTTTGCTCTGGTTGCATCTGGCTTTGTGGGGGTTTTCCACGTGCTCAGTGGCCATGGGGACAGGCTGGCCTGAGCCCTGGGCTGAGGAGAGCAGGTCCTCTCCCCTACCTCACGGCGCCCACTCCATTCCTCTGAGGTACCTGATGGAAATGAGGGTGTTGCAGGTAGCGTTGCTGCTGTGCTGGGGGTGCTGGGGGGCACTGCGAGGGAGGGGGCGCCGGGTGGCCCGACAGCTTCCGCGTCATCGAAGGCCGGATTTCTTCTCCCACAGCCCCACTGAGGTGCGGGCCTCCCTGGGGCCTCCGGTCCAGGCTGTTGCCCCGGTGACCCTGGGAGAGAATGATGAAGACGATGCAGATCCACCCTCCTCCCGCATCTCCCGGCCCCCCACCCCCCTGCCCCCCGCTTTCGGGCAGTTTGCCCACCACCTCTCCAAGAGACAGCCGAAGGCCCGTAGGCAGCCTCAAGAGAGCCGATGTCTCGGCCCCTCGTGGTTGCAGGAATGGTCTCCATGTTCTCAGATTCTCCCGGGCTGGGGACTCCGGGTCTCTGGTTCACTTTCCACGGGCTACGCATCGAGTCCCTTCCTAGTGGGCTTGTTTTCCTCTCTGCAATCAAGCTTCAATATTCTATTTTACTGACACAATGCCACCCCTCCTTATCGCCTGTTGCCCCACCGCCGGACATCCTACCCTCCCGATAAGCTCGGCCATTGACTTTGCCTGATTTTGAACTGTCGCTTATAGCCTGGTGATAGAGCCCCAGACCGCAGCCCTCTTGTGGCACCATGGAAACCAGGCCTGCCGCCAGGCACGCTGGGAAGGAGCACGGCCTTTCTGCTTAATGGTACCACGACCGTGTGACTCGAGGTACTTTCTCATTATTTTTATTTCACAAACAAGTTACACAGGGCCTGGGCTTCATACATGCCAGGCGCTGTTCGATGTGCTTTACAAATATGAACTCGTTTAATCCAGTTTAATGCGTTTTGGTTTTTTTTTTAAGATTTTACTTATTTATTTGACAGAGAGAGACAGCGAGAGAGGGAACACAAGCAGGGGGAGTGGGAGAGGGAGAAGCAGGCCCCCCGCCGAGCAGGGAGCCCGATGCGGGGCTCGATCTCAGGAGCCCAGGATCATGACCTGAGCCGAAGGCAGACGCTTAACCGACTGAGCCACCCAGGCGCTCCCCAGTTTAATGCATTTTACGCTACCTCTTTTCTCTCTGCATGCACATCCTGCTAAATTAATACCTCTGTTTCTTGGTTAAAATAATTCACAAAGTCTTAGTTAACCTTTGTTTTTCTTTCTGAACTTTTATGTGCACTTGCTGGGACGCCCTTTTCTCCTAGGACTGTCACTTCTCAGGCTTACAATCAACCAATTCCCTGAAATGGTTTTCTCTACTTCTCCAGAGCACCTGTTGATTTGAAAGCCTCAATGCCTTTTCAAATAACTTGTTCCAGGGATTTCAACTATTTTAACTACTCCAGAGAATGCTTCTTTCTAGAATACCCATCTCTTTCTTTTAACGATGTTGTTTCCTTTGAAAGGTATTTTATACATTGTGTGTGTGTGTGTATGTGTGTGTGAATTTTCTTATGGGAGGCAAGTTAGCATTTCCTTGGTGCCTACTATTGTCCAGACTCTATGGCAAGTGCTATCACCATATTATTTCATTTAATCCTTACAACAGCCCAGGCAGGGAGGTATTATAGTCTCTCCATTCTCCAGATGAGAAATCTGATACTCTGAAAGGTTTCTTAACTTGGACTCTTGGTTTCAGCTCAGGTCATGATCTCGGGGTCGTGGGGTCGAGCCCTGCGTCAGGCTCCGTGCTCAGCTCAGAGTCTGCTTGAGGTTCTTTCTCTCTCCCTCTGCCCCTCCCCCTACTCTTGAGCTCTCTTTCTCTAAAATAAATAAATAAATCTTAAAAAAAAAAGAGCTAGGTTTGTCTGATGCATTTTCTAGTAAAATAATACTCTGTTTTCCACACTGTTCCAAGAGCAAGAATTCCAGGTCCAGTTTTTCCTCCAACAGCCCCAACCTCCCTGTCTGTGACAAGGCTCTACCTGCTACCTTAGTCTTGGACTCTAGGCTGCTCTCCAACATCCCCGCGTGGGGCCCCCTGGCCTTCAGCTTTGGGCAACTCCTGAGCTAGGCTGAAACTGCGATGTACCAAAGCATCCACTGTTAAGAGCTAATGTTTGTGGCATGCTTGTAGCACTACTAGGAGAGACGCCAGGGAAGGGGATACGTTATCTTCTCTAACCTTCACCACCATCTATGAGCTAGGTATCACCATTGCTCCAGTTTTATGGATCAGGAAACAGGATCAGACAACTTTCCCAAATCACATGGCTGGGAAGTGTTAGAAGATGATTTTAACTGAGGTCTGACCTTGGACTTATTCTGTCTTCCAGAATACTCAGGGGACATATCATCAAATGCATTGTCTTGATGGGTCATATAGGACTCATGCTGCCTAAAATCTGCAGACTGGGGCTGATCGGGGCCTGAGGCATACCTGATCCTCTCGGGTTCTATCCCTCAGAAAGATCTGCTTCTGTTTGGAGATGGAAGTCGTCCTGTAGTAGTCCACCAGCTTATTTAGAGACGGAAACTTCTCTGTCCACAGGAAGTAATTACCCTTGTTGTCTCTCATGACCTTGAAGTGCTGAACATCATCCTCATGCCTAGAGATCGGGGCGAATCCAAGTTGTATATTACATGGTGACGATGTCCCCACCCCCCGGGCTGACTGCATCCAGCGATGCTGGAGTTCCACTGGGGCAGGAAAGGGGATGTGAGTGCCTGCCCATCACAGGGCGGGTGGGCTGGCTCAGTCAAACTCTAGGGGGAGATTTGTGAGAGGGACCGCTCAGGACACAGGTGGCATTAGAAGGGATTTTTACATCAGCAGAAGATAATCCGTCTTCCGACACTGGAGCCAACCATTTATAGGAAAAAAATGTCCAAGCGCTTCAGCGACCACCAGGTCAAGGACTTTTTACAAATGTTTGTTTGAAACGTGGCAACCCCTGCGTCCTGTACGATGCCAAGGACTCTGCCAAGACTCAGAGGGGAGAGGTCTTTCACCCATGTTATCTTTCCATTATCAGAAATACTTTGAACCAGCTCTTTTAAGCCCATAAACTAGCTCTGGACAGTAAGAGACCATCTTGAGAAATTTGTCCCACTTGGTTTTCTACTTAATGGAGATCTCTTGGTCTTGGCTTATGTTGTGCATAAATAAGGTTACAAAGTATTTTGAACTTTTGGGGAGAAAAGTGTTATACAGCAATGTAGTGTTTTAATTGGAAAGGACCTCTGAGATTGTTTAGCCTTGTCTCCATGTTACCGATGAGGATGCTGAGGCTCAGATTGGCGGAGGGGCTTGGCCAAGGTCACCGTGAGTGATTGCCAGAGCTGAGGCAAGAACCCTGGCTCTCTGATTCCAGTCCGGTGAATTGAGCCTGTCACACCATGTACACATGCTAGCTTCTTTTAGGTCGGCACCTTTTGACACAAGCTGGAATCACAGTGATGGGAAGTATTTGTATCAGAGATGGAGAAATTGGACTTTACTCATCTGGAAAGGGGAAGCTTGGCCTTTACTAACAGCTCCAGTCTTTCTCCATCACCAAGGCATTCTCTTTTCGATGTCAAGTTTATTCATCAAACAGACATACATTTATATCTAAAAATAAACTAATGATACCAATTGCCTGATCCGACAGAAAGGTCAAGAATTTAAAGAGAGTTGGGGAGTGAAGATACCTCTGAAGGTTAGTGCAGGTTTCTTAAGGATGGATTCAGTGGTCTGTGTTCAGAGGGGATGGGAATTTTGATTGATCTTCAGTCTCATCTTATGTGCTAGGCTGTGCTCATGGCCAGGTGAACCCATACAGGGACCTCTGCTTGACTGCTCTAGGCTAGGAACTGACACTCTGCAATCACTGCATGGTCTTCCCCTTGGTGCTGGCCATTAACAGATGCTTTCTTCACTCTAACAACACATGGTTTAATTCATAGTCATTACTCCTCACATCTGTGTGTGGAGGAGGAAATATTCTTGTGATATAATTATTCATCCACCACCTCTTAGTCAAAGAACTCAGAGTGAGAAACATTAACCCTCTCTCTCTCATAAGCTGAGAGGATGGATGTCAGGCTTGTACCCGGTCCTCTGGGCCCATGGAGAGAGAGAGTGGCTGCACCATTGTCTCAAGTTCTAAGAGGGGAGGAAAAAGGGATAAAACTCAGGGCTCCAGACTCTAAAATCTAGTGTTTCAGACCCTTAACAAATGCTAAGTGATAGAACTACAATTAGCTCTTAATTATCTTTGCATGATAGAAGGCAGATGTATAAATAAATAAAAATGATCTGCTTTGCTCTGGTGAGCGCTGTGAATTGTGTGAGACTGTTGAATCACAGATCTGTACCTCTGAAACAAATAATGCAATATATGTTAAGAAAAAAAAAAGAAGAAGAAGAAGGTAGCGGGAGGGGAAGAATGAAGCGGGGGAAATCGGAGGGGTAGACGAACCATGAGAGACGATGGACTCCGAAAAACAAACAGGGTTCTAGAAGGGAGGGGGGGGTGGGAGGATGGGTTAGCCTGGTGGTGTGTATTGAGGAGGGCACATTCTGCATGGAGCACTGGGTGTTATGCACAAACAATGAATCATGGAACACTTCATCTAAAGCTCATGATGTAATGTATGGGGATTAACATAAGAATAAAAAAAATGATCTGCTTTGGAACATATTAGGCTACATTTCTGCAGAAGATGTAGTAACGATTATGGTAATAATCACAAGAGGCTGCAGCGCCTCAACAGTAGGGAGAGACTGTGGCAGAAGTCAAGGCTGACCGTCTTGGAGAATTCACCTTAGTGGAGGAAATATAAACCATGATTCCTAGCTGAAAAGCCACAGTGCACTTCATGCAAAGCAGAGGCACCAAGAGATGCCCTTCAATGTAACCATTTACCTGGTCCAATCTGTAATCAGGGCCCTTAAAAAAGAGGTTTGACTGTAACATTTATTAATAGAGCAAAATTGCATTAAGACCTGACAAATTTAGAATTCGTGATACATCAGTATTGGCCTGAGCTAAAATTTCCTGTTGCCTAAACTGTGAAAAAAGAAAAGTTTTAGTTAAGGAAAATTAAGATTTTAAGCAAGATTACAAGGGCCATGTTAATGAGACCAAGCTATTCTTGAGCGATTTAGAGGTGCACGTGCATACAAATGGTTGACCCATTATTCATAAGTCCTCCCTACCTAGTCCTTAAAATATCCATTCTTCGGGGCGCCTGGGTGGCTCAGTTGGTTAAGCGACTGCCTTCGGCTCAGGTCGTGATCCTGGAGTCCCGGGATCGAGTCCCGCATCGGGCTCCCTGCTCGGCAGGGAGCCTGCTTCTCCCTCTGACCCTCCCCCCTCTCATGTGCTCTCTGTCTCTCTCATTCTCTCTGTCTCAAATAAATAAATAAAATCTTTAAAAAAAAAAAATAAATAAAATATCCATTCTTCCTAAATAGTGAAGTGGTCTCAGTTCGTTACCTGAGATTGGATTTACGCACTTAAAGCACGGAAGCTAGATGCCTTTCAACGTGTATTGCATAATCCAGACCAACATTTCAGTGAACAAGTTCAATGAACTTGACAGTAGGTTCCACTGCACAGGTTGTCACGTCTCCTCCTGTACGGTTATCAGCATTAATTTGTGCACTTTCACATGTGGTCACCATGCCTGATATGTGACTTGCGATCCCAGATATGCTGACCACATGCAGTGTGCTCAGACTTGGGGTTTCTGAGTGTGGGGCTGTGTCATGTTTATGCCCGGACTGACTCATTTCCTCCCGGGTGCTGCACATTAGCGAGATTTTGCTGCCACCGTCCCTCACCCCAGCCCTCCTCGGCTCAGATCTGTCGCTATGAGTTTGCTGCATTAAAGTGTGCTGAGCTGGCCCTTCTTTTTATGCAACCACCTACAACAATGACTTGGGATTTTAATTTTCCTCTGAGCCTTCTTCAGACATATATCAGTAGTAGAAGGAAAGGTTCAGATTTAAACCCCAAGACAGATGTGGACAATTGGGAATTCTCCCTTCCTTCTCCTGCCCCATTTCCTTGCACAAATACTCACTGAACGCCTGCTGGTTATAAGGCGCTGTTCAAGACACAAAGGTGAAATAGATAAAGATCCTGTCCTTCCAGAAGCACTTGGGCTAGAGGGGGAGGCAGAACATATATGTAATTTGGCCACAAACCAGCGTACTCAGGATTTATATATATATGCATCATGGGAAGGAGATGAATGGCATCCCAGTTGACAAGATGCCTGGGTCCCTTGGCCACCATGTTCCTGAGCAATAGGTCACATTCAAGAGATCACCTCATGGCTTTAGCAGTCTGGGTTGGGAATGGCCAGTACCTGACAGAGATGGAGAAGTCCCCTGGGGAGCTCTGGCTGGCCCGGATGATGAAGAAACCAACCTCCTTGCCCATAAGTAAGTTCTCTGCCTGGTGTCGCGAGAGACCTTCATGAAACCATCTATTGGATGAGATAAAACCAGAGAATCTTGGTGAGATGCCAGAGTGATTGGAAGGAGAAGGGGAGAAGAGATGACCCAAAGGGATGGAGGCTGGGGACTCTGGCCAGCAGAGTGCAGAAAGAGACAGAGGAGGGGCCAGGACCTCTGAAACCAAACATATGCTCTCGGCAGTTTTCAGGCAAGGCAAGTGAGTGTTCCCCTGACGCGCCCCCTTTGTTCCTTCCCTCCAGGAGAAGTCTCTCTCGCGCTAGGAAAACCTGAATCATGGAAATGTGCCACTGCACCAAAATGGGACAGTGTGGGAGTGACTCACTGCGGGAAGCAGCTGCCTGCTGGCAGCTCTGTGAGGGATGTCACCAGGAAAGAACTGCAGGGGACAGATGATGTGCCAGGAGGACAGGAACCCCTTCAGGCGCTGGGGGACCGAAGCCAGGAATCCAGACTGAGAGCTCAGTGGGCCCCCTCAGAGCCCAGGGGCCCTGGTGATCTGGGTGGTATGGAGCCAGGCTAGCAGCTGCCAGAGAGCGGTGTCTACACGGCCAGCTCCCGGGCCCTCCCCCAAATCCAGGAAAATCATCTTTACCGTGGAAAAGAAGGAACGGAGGAGAAACTCCTCTTTCTGGGGACAGTCAGGGTGGCAGTGTTGTGGCAGGTGGCCTGGCATACGTGCAAACGGCCAAGCGCTGCCAAACAGAGGCTACGGCCTCAGGGCAGGAGGCCAGAAACCTCTCAACCACAGAAGAGCGCAAATGAATGTTTGCAATCACTCAGCAGCCCCGACTGGGACAGGTTCCATTCCTCCAAGGCGGCTGCTCAAGCGCTGCCTCTGGAAGGCTAGTGCGTGTGTCCCTTTAAGGGGGAAGTCCCCACAGTCTTGGGAGTCCTTTGTGAGCAATCCCGTGCTCTCTAGAATTTAGGAACCTGACCTCCAGACAGGAGTGGAAGGAGGGATGTCCTTATTCCAGACCTGACACTGCAGGGGAAGCGTGGTTGGGTGGTGAGGGGCTCGAAGCAGAGGGTTTCCGGCCACCAACTCCCTGGACATCATTCCAGAGCATCTGCCGTGCTTGGCCCCAGGGCTGAACAAGCGACCACCACAGCTTGCCTTGTGTAGGGAATGTAATGGGGCTGGGTAAAGGAATGGGGCATGCTCCATGGCAGCCATACCTTGAAGAAAATACTTTGGACGAGGCAGAGAGTGGTTAGGGGATTGTTTGAAAAATACACATTCGTCCTTGAATTGGAGTTTGATACGTGACTTCAAGACTGGCAAAAGTGTCCACACACTACATATTAAACATGCAGGCAGGGTCATTCCAAAGCTACTCATTCGTTCATTCAACCGTTTTTATCAAATATCTACTAAGTGCTGGCCTTCCGCTGGGCACCGGGGATGCGGTGGTAAGCAGAGCAGACAAGAGGGCCTGCCCTCGTGGAGCTTACGTTCTATCATGCAGAGACACTAGAACCCACCAGCCGGCCACGCAGTCCACCACGATCGCCATACAAAGGTTTCAAGGGGCGGGGAGGAGTTAGAGATGAGAAAACAGACAAGTCTCTTTAAGAAGTGCAGTGGTAGCTGGAAGGAGACTTGGGATCAAGAATTTTTGTTTTGTTTTTTTGGTAAGGTGGGAGAAACTGCAGCATCTTTGCTGATGGGAATGACCCAGGAGAGAGAGAGAGAATTGATGTGTGAGAGAGGGAGGAGGAGTTTCTGCTAGAAGCACAGACAATTCTTTCCAAACCAGCTGCAGGAAAGGCATCCTTGTCTGAGTACAGTTGCAGGAGGTGGGTGGATGCAGTGAGTCAGCTGGGGGGCGGGGTAGAGGGGCTTTTCTGTGGCTTCCGTCCTCCCAGGAACCCTGAAAGCAAGGCCCTGAGCCACGAGCGCTGTCGGGGAGGGGCTGGAGGTCTAAGGAGCAAAGGTGTCGGGTGGTCATCTAGAAGATTACAGGGCAGGGCGCCTGGGTGGCTCAGCCAGTTAAGCATCTGTCTTCAGCTCAGGTCATGATCCCGGAGTCCTGGGATCGAGCCCCAGATCAGGCTCCGTGCTCAGCAGGGAGTCTGCTTCTCCCCGCGGGCCCCTGCCCCCATGCTCTCTCTCAAATAAATAAGTAAAACCTTAAAAAAAAAAAATAGAAGATCACAGGGCAGCATGAAGGTTTGAGGTTGGTGGTCATTCTGTTGGTTCAGTGGCCAGTCCTGGTTCCCAGTGAGTGGTGCTCCCGCACTTCACCAGAGTCACCAAGACCGCTAACAGACCTGTGCTCTTTGAGCTAGACTGTGGCTCTCGAAGATTAGATTTCTATCTAACCCTTGTGGTCAATTCTGGAGACAAACGAGACCCAATCTCTATTTTTCTTTTCCTCTTTTTTTTTTTTTTTTAAAGATTTTATTTATTTTTTAGAGAGCGAGCGAGCGAGAAACAGCGTGAGAGGGGAGAGGGTCAGAGGGAGAAGCAGGCTCCCCACTGAGCAGAGAGCCCGATGCGGGACTCGATCCCAGGACCCTGGGATCATGACCTGAGCCGAAGGCAGACGCTTAACCATCTGAGCCACCCAGGCACCCTCTTTTTCCTCTTGATGAAGGGAATTTCCTCTTTTCCCCCCACTGACTGTTCTCAGGGGTATGAGCATGGTTTAGGGAAGGCAGGGAGCTGTTTGGGATCCCTGGTGAGGATGGAAGACGTTGGGAGGTAATGGAGAAGTGCCCTCAAGGAGCAGTTCTTGACGTGCGGTGGCCAATAGCGCCCCTGATAGGATTCGTGGAAACCCTGTGATTGCAATTACAGATGAGTTTAGCTTATAAAACCTAAAATAGGCGATCCATGTGCATGGTATAAAATTTAAAAGGGAATGCAGTGAAATGCAAATCTCCCTCCCACCCTGGCCTTCAGCTGCGTGGTTCCCTCTCCAGAGGCAACCAATTTTGACAGTATCTTGGGTATGCATAGATAATTTTAGTGACTGCTGAAAAAGTAAGGGGAGTGTGTGTGGGTAGGCCCATGTCAGCAGGCTGGAAATACTTACTCAGGAAACTGGATTTCTATAAAATTCTTGGGCACATATCCTTCTTGGCTCCCAAGCTCCGCCTTGAACCACTCCTCTTGGTTACTTAAGATCTACATGGAAGAGAAGGAAGGACAGAGACTGTAGGGAGGACATCAAGAAACAAAAGAGAGGGACCGCAGGGCAAAGAACACCCTTTTGGATTCAGAGGGAAAAAACGCCTAGGGCACCACACAGGTGCTCCAGTGTGGGTGGGCAGCAGTTTTCTCTCTGGAGTTTGGCTTCTTTGACCCCAAGTCTTTTCTGTCCACTGGTGCCACACATGGGACCCCACCATGGCGGGGCCTCCCAGACTCAGCACTCGGGGGATTCTCTGTATATTTTGGAAATTCATATGTCCCAGATCTCAGCTCCTGAAGCTCCTCATTTGAGCAGATGCTGGGAAGGCAAGAGTGGCCACCCCATGATTTCTTCTCTGCCAGGTAACCAGGGACCTTCTAAAATTTTAATTTGTTCCTATTTCTTTAAACAAGCAAATTAAAACTTAAAACATCCAGTGGGGCCAGCTTTGAAAACAGTCACTTTTGTGTTCACACTCCATGTGTTTCACAAACAATTTGGACATAACTCAAGATATTTGGGATGCCTTTTCTAAACTTGATTTTAGTGCCAGATCCCAAGCAAAGCCAGAAGTTCTGTCTCATGACTATATGGTCTTTAGTTGACCATGACCCCAAATGTTATTGCTTCCCTTGATTACTCATATGACTCACCAGACTTGGCTCTATGTGGCTTCTGGTTATTTCAGAAAATGTTTCACTATTAAAAGACAAATGTTTGCCCCCATCCCCCACTGAGAATGTTTCTAAAGTATGTGGCATGGACTTGAACAATAATGGAGATGGCAGAGACAAACGATGAACAGAAGCTTGACGATGTCATTGAGCCCCTGAGTGAACCACACAGGAACCTCCTACTTCTGGACTTTGTGTGAGAAGTAATCAATCTGCATGATTATTTCAGCTGTATTCAAGTTTCTGCTTCTTGCAGCTGACAATGCCTTAATGGATGGAAGTGCTATGCTGCAGGGCAAAGCAGAAGATGAGTAGGAAAGACTGCCTGGAGGAGAGGCCCTGGAGTTGCCCTGGCAACGAAAGAAGTTACCCAGGCAAAGTCTGATGGCGCAGGAACTTCTGGGATGGGAGGAAGTGGGATGCATTCCGGGAACGGAAGGCCTTGGTCCAGCGGGAGTTTAGATTGTGGCCGCAGGGGCAGAGCGAGGGGAAACCAGAGGCACAAGGCCCATGTTGAAAAGTCTGGACTTTTATCTTGAAATGTATGGGGAGCCACTAAAGGCTTCTGAGCAGGGAAGTAACACAGTAAGAATTAGAGCCAAGAAAGAGTTCTGTATCAGAGGGTGAAGACAGATTGGAGGGGAAAAGTCTAGGAAGACAGTGTAGCCATGCTGGCGAGAGGCGAAGGGCTATTTTAGAGGAACCTGGAAGCAAAAGTGTGCAGGATTGCGTGACTGTTCTCTGAACCAAGGGAGAAGGGGATTCTGGGAGGGCTCCGGACTTCGGCCTTGGGGGACTGGGTGGGTGGTGATGTCTTGGCTAAAATAGAAAGTACAGGAGGAAGAGCAGGCCTGAGGAAGAGCTCATGGGCTTCAGATTGCATGTGAGTGAATCCAAGTTGCCCCTGGGACCATCTGAGAAGAAAAGCTCAGTGAGCAGTTGGAGGTGTGTGTCTGGACTCAGCAGAGAAGTGGGAACTGGCATTCGGGATTTGAGAGTCATCCTAAAGCAGGTGGAGTTGAAGTCTGGGTCCCACGGGTTTCTCTCTTCTAGAGACGGGAAGACATGAAGACAGCTGAGTAACTGATATTTTTAATATCAGTTAGAAGAAAGGGGCCAGCACTCCGAGTTTGGAATGAGAAGACCTGGTTTCTAGCTTGGCCCCATCACCAGCTGTATGACCTTCGGCAAGTCAATTAGCCACCTGAAAAATGGGGACAGTAACAACCAGCTAGCCCCTTACAGAGCTGATGTGAGGATCAGATGAGCCCTGGTACCTCGAAGTCCTTCAGAAAGTGTATGCTGTTTTTAAAAATACAATTCTGCAAAATGTGGTATTCTTAGGAGGGAGGACTCCAGCCTTGAACGACATGGTAGGGTTTATAAGTTCTTTAAAGTACTATATGTATATGTTTTGAATTTAATCACTTGTTCTGAAGAAATAAAAGTGTGTCCCATATTTGAGTTCTAGAATTACTGAGGACAGAAAACTTTATAGTTTCTAACATCAAATGTGACTGCTGGTATCACTAAGGACGCGTGGGTATGTGTATGCCGAGGGGGGTGCGGTGGGGCGGGGGGAGCAGAAAATCTAGGTCAGAAAAAGAACTAGGAAACTCAGCCAACAAAGAACACAAGGACATTTCACTCCATGCCTTCGCGCCCCCCTCCCCCAATTTATGGCTTTGGAATTCCTTTCTCCCGTCACATGGGAGTCTGATGGTTTGGGCTGGGTAGCAAATGTCAAGTACAAGGTGAGCAGGGATAAGGTAAAAGAGGCCAATTGGAAATTGGCTCATCACGGTAAGAACCAACTTTGTACTTAGTTCTCTGACCTGAAACCAGCTGTAATTTTAGTAATTGTGGCTCACACCCATCTACCTCCTGTAGAAACTGAAAGATTATCCCTCAATGCCGGCCATTTCTCCCCACCACCTGGTGCTCCGTCTGCCTGAGATCGTGTTCCCAGAGAGGTGAATTTACAGGCTTTTTATGGTGTATAGGAAGGCAAGGTTTTAAAAGAATCTCATTTTCTGCAAAGAAGAGTGTTTGGGGGGAGGTGGTTTCCTCCTGCCGTTGTTGGCCCAGGGCCCCATACTTCCTGTTCTTCTCATCTCTCTGCCTATTCGGTTCCCCCTATCTCTTGTCCCCATCATGAAAACCCAAGCAAGGGGTTCAGCCTGAGCACATGAGGTTTTAGACTTCACTTTACTGTGTCTTAATTCTTATAATGTTGCCTACGAGAAAAGTTTTCTGGGTTACATGGCCTGAGAATAAGTTAGACGTGGGAAGGGGACAAAATGTACAGTTGGGAGAATTTTAAAATTGGATGGAATTATAGCTCTTAGAGGCAGAGCAGAAATCTGAAGTATTGGAGAAGTTAATTGACATAGGATTAACTCTTAGTGCTTTCAGGTCACTGTTTTAGTAGGAAGAAATGGGGTTGAGTTAGACACATTACAGAAGTAGGTAGAAATGGACTGGGTCAAGAGACATTTTTTAAAAAATGACTGGCAAATTTCAGTGGGAAATGTAAGTCCGGTGCTGTGTGTAGCTGCAGGTCTGTTGGGGAGGTGGTGGTTGAGGCACGAACATGAAACATCCGGCTCCTGACATCAAATACTTCTCTCACGGAAGAAGCGGGATCAAGTCATTTGGCCGGAGTTCCCCGTCCACCATCTTGTTCATCGTCCTGTCATCAGCATCTAGTGCGCGCCTGCTGTTTGCACTTAGGTGCTGGGAATATAGACATGAATAAGCTGAGGTCTTGGTCCTGGGGAAGTCACAGTCTGGAGTGGGTGGGTTGGTGGTGAACTAGTCAGACCTTGTTTGTGCCTTCTAGTGAGAAAGTCTGTTTAGTCTTTTAGCACGAAAAGCCTAGGATGAAAGAGCATCCCAGGAGTAGATTACTGGGGCAGTCAAGAGCCAACTTTGAAAGCACTTGCAAGATCTTGGGGCTCATGACCCATCTCTGGAGTGGCGGAGTAGGGTTGCAGTTGTACGTAGAGATGCACAGGCAGGGCACTAAGCACCACGATTCAGACATGCTGTGGGGCTCAGCCAACAGGCCCCTCTCCACTTTCCTTTCCACCGTTAAGCTGCAAGGGACAGAATTTGAAAAGAAGGAGGTTTGTCCTTCTGGTGGAATTCTACATGACCCTGTAGAAATGCAATTTAATAATTCAAGCCATTGGTACCTATTTGGGACCAGGACTTGTGTGGGGCGCTGCTGGGAAGACACAAAGATGAACCAGGCATGGCTCTGCTCTCAGGGAGCTCACAGACCATTGGAGTAATCAACCACTCATTCATTCATCAGATATTAGGGACAGTCAACTCTCTGCTGGTTTGGACACTGAGGCGGACCCGGCAATCAGGATTCCACAGGGTAAGGGCAGTGATGAGAGATGGGTGTATGGGGTGCGCAAGAACACGAAGGCTTGCCTGCTCACCAATAACTGTCATGGGAGGTAAGATCATCAGTGCCTTGAAAGAAGTGTGTGTGTGCAGTGCTGTGGAAGAGCTGAAGAGGGAGTGATTCATCTTGCTGGGCCATCAGGAGTGTAGAGGGAGTGAGGGTTCCGAAGCAGAGGTGGTCAAATATGTGTGTGCAGGAGAAAGGCATTCGGAGTATGGGGAGAGCCTGACACAGCACGGTGTGTATACTGCAGTATGTGTATGTGTGTGCGTGTGTGCGCGTGTGTGTATGGTGTATGTATGTGTGCATGTTCATGGACGAGAGCTTGATGAGCTTAGGTAGTGTGTTGGGATCAGGTGGCTTAAATTTCAATCAATTGGTAATGGGGAACCACTGAATTTTTTTGAGTAAGGAAGTGATCTGACCTGACTTCTTTTCCAGAAAGATCCTCCTGAGACTAGTATATGAAATGATTAAAGGAGTAAGTGAGAGGAGGTGATGAAGTCAGTCAAGAGGCTGTGGCAATGGTCTGAATGGCAGCAGGAATGGGTAATACTGAAATGTGGCAACCATTTATGAAGCATCCACTTTGAGCTGGGACCATTACCTCTAATCCTTTCCAGAACCCTGCAAAATAGATATGGATTCTGGGGTGCCAGGGTGGCTCAGTTGGTTAAGCAACTGCCTTTGGCTCACGTCATGATCCTGGAGTCCCGGGATTGAGTCCCGCATCGGGCTCCCTGCTCAGCGGGGAGTCTCCTTCTCCCTCTGAGCCTCCCCCTCTCATGCTCTCTGTCTCCCATTCTCTCTCTCAGATAAATAAATAAAATCTTTAAAAATTAAAAAAAATAGATATGGATTCTACTTACAGATAAAGACGGAAGCTCAGAGGGGGCAAGTGACTGACCCAAGGACACACACAGCTAGTAAGCTGGGATTCAAACTCAGTTTATCTGGCTCTAAACTCCTGCTCCTTTTTACTGTATCAGACTCCTCTCTCATGAAGAAGGGGATTGCTTAAGAGATCTCAAGAAAGAAAAATAGGACAGAGTACATGTTTAGGAGTGAGGCCGAACTCCATTCAGATCCAGAAGAGGGACAGTTAACAGTGTTAAATTCCACAGGCGCGTTAGTAGGGTCATTATATTCCACATTAAAGAGATCCCTGGTGGGCATACAGGGAGTGTTGGGGGTAAAAGGCAGATTCCAGAAGGTTCCAGTGGAATAAATGGGAAGTGAGGAAGTGGAGACACTGGCACAGAGAACCCCTCCCAGTGTTGGTAGCAAAGGAGAGGAAAGAAATCAGGAGGTAGACTGAGAAGCAGAGTTGAGGAAAGGGTTTTTTTTTTTTCTTTTCCTTTTCTGAGGGATAGGAAACCCTCGAGGCGGATATTAGGTTCTGTTTGCAATGGAAGATAAGGGGTAGAGTTGGCCCCCCGGCCTCTTTGGAGTGAGGACACTCTATAGCGGTTGATAATCACATGGTCACAGTATCCCATAGAGAAGGGAGGGACTGCTCACCATGTGGCAGATCCCTCTGTGACCTTGGTAAGATCCCACAGAAATGAAGGTCACCTTTTCTTGGGTCAGCAGCCCAGGGGACACTTTGACCTTGAGAAGCTCCAGCATCGAAGGCACCCTCTACGCAACTATATTACTAGATCTTTGCAAGGTGACAACAGTTAGAAGGATGAGTCCCGGGGGTGTTCAAGTTCCAAACCAAGTCATCCTACCTGGTCTGTGCTCCATGGACACTTTCTGAGTCCCCCGTCACGGACTGACAAGGTTCTCTCCGCAGCAAGCGTACTTCTCCGTGGTGAGGCCAGCCTCAGTGCTACGGTGCAGTCTGAGAAGGCCCACGTGGGCTGCTGAGGACCAGGGATGGGGATTTCTGAGGGTGCTCTGAGGCCAGGCTGGGGGGGCGGGCCTTAGCATCACAGACTCCCCAAAGGGCCTGTGTAAGGGCCTGTGCTTTTGCTCAAAACAGGGGCTAAGATGCAGGACTTAAGCCTGTAAGTGAGGTGCGTGGAATGTGGGAGTCCGAGGCCTCTTCAGCCCTGCAAGCAGCCACAACCCAAGTGTGGGTGTTAGGCGAGTTCTAAGGTGTCCTCGAGGGGCCGGATGTGCAGGCCTCTGTTGGCCCACGTCCCCTCCAGCTGTCTTTCCCAGGCTGTCTCCACCCGCATCACCTCCGAGCTTGAGGTCAAAGTCCAACTCACCCTCACTGCATTCCCTGACAAAGGAAGTTGCGGCTCATTCCTGCGACCCCATCTCTCAAGGTTCCCTCACGTGTGCTCCCTGAACATTTAGACAAGAATATCTGTAAGAGCCCTTTGGATGGCTTTCCCCCGCCCCCCGCCCTGACCACGAGCATCTCAGGACAAGGGTGGTGGCTTCTTTCCATCACCCAGCCTGGAAACTGGTGCCCGGGAGGGCTCAGAAGGAACCCTTTTGATTGAGGTGAACTTCTCTTTTTGAAAGGAGCTGTGTGTAGTTCTTAAGAAACAAAGGCATGGGTTGGTAGGTGAATTCGGAGACCTGACCAGAGTAACCCAAACTCCCCAGGGCCCCCGAGGGGGCCCCATGTCACCTACTTTCAGAATGTCTCCAGTGTGAAAGCTCAGTTCATCCTCGCCTGAGGCGGTGAAGTCAAACTTGGCGACGGCTTCCATGTCGCGACGGGAAGCTGGAAGAGAAGTAATGTGCTCATTATGCCCTTCTGTCCAGAGGAGAGCTGCGGGCTGCATAGCAGTCTGAGCAGGTGGTAGGCGCCTGGTCCGAGGCCTCCAGGCCTGAGGGGGAGGCCCAGGCCTACAGGGAGGGCTTTCGAATCCTGGGGAATTGTTGCAGGAGGGAGTTGTAGGATGTGCCTCCCTTTCTTCCCTGAATCCCCGCATGCCAGGAGCAGGGAACAGGCCAGCAACCCCTTTCCCATTCCTTTCATCTCCCTCTGCCTGTCTGGCCTGTCACCCTTTCTGGGGGCATCCCTGTTTCTGGTTGATAAGGATGGAAGACTCGCTATCATCTCTAACTTGAGGCCCGAGGGGCTGGAAGACTGTTCTGTAAACATCGTCCTGAGGCTGTCCCTTGGCAGCTATATTTAACCAGGCAGTGTTAATTAGACAGATGCCATTTTCCCTTTTACATCTGAATCATTTAAGAAAATTAGGCAGCATTGGCCAGTGGGGAACTCAGCGTCCTTCCACATGGTTTGAGAGTGGAAAGCGTTCTGGTTCTAGAGGCAGGGGACTAGATTAGTCAGATTCCTTATTTCATTATTAGAGTGTAAGCCAAGTATATTTTTTAAAAATTTCATTCTAATACTTCAGCATCAAGTTAAAATATTATTTCCTGCCCCCCCCCAGGAATACACGAGACCTATATAAAATAAAAAAGTTAGCCTACAAATGAAATATAGTTGGTTTGTTTTTTGTTTTTTGGTTTTTTTTTTAGGAGACACTGAAGCATGTCTGTAAGAAAGAGCAGAGTCCTGGTTTTGTTGGTGACAAGCTGTATGATTTTGTGCAATAACTAAACCTCTTGGGGTCTCAGTTTTCTCGTCTGTAAAGTGAGGATCATAATATTCAACTAATAATAGAGGTGGCTCAGTCAGTTGAGCCCCCGACTCCTGATTTTGGCTCAGATCATAATCTCAGGGTTGTGAGATCAAGCCCCGAGTCAGGCTCCGCACTGGGCATGGAGTTGGCTTAAGATTCTCTCCCTCCCTCTCCCTCTGCCCCTCCCCCTGTGCACACGTGTGCTCTCTCTAAACAAACAAACAAATAAATAATCCTTAAAAAAAGTAATTGTATGGAATGAATTTATCCTCAGCAAAGGTAGCCTGGCCAAAAGCAGCCTGAGTTTTCTTCTGATTTCTCCCATCTTTTATGAACTTTCCTCTCTGAAATTTGATGCTTATTCTCCATGACCCGCAAATCCTTTGGTTTTCTGGTAAGACAGTTTGCTGTTAGGACAGTCTTGGAAGCTGTTGTTTGGCATTTACGTTTATCAGAATTTGGCTAAGTCTGAAACCCTTTAGGCTAGTAACCTCACACCTAATGGCTTTCAGTAACCAATAAACCAGGACCACAATCACACTCTCAGTGGGAATTTCCACCCAAGTGACAAGATTTGGGTAAATGAGGAAGGTGGCTGCTAGTGGGAGGGTGCAGCCCGCAGAGATCAGGGGATTAAAGCCAACTGCCGCAGTGGTAACAGCAAGGGGCTCGGCTCTCTGATTTTACACATTTGCTTAGTCTTCCAAAGGCAATTTGTAGAGGTGATGATTACCCATCCCGAAGGCAGATATTAAGCAAAAAATATTTCAGGAGCCAGAGTAAAATGTCATAGTTAATTGTCTGAGCTTTATCACCAGCCAAAATTTATTTCCAAACAAAAATATAGATATACTTTTTGTACCCTTTATTCAGGATCTGTCTATCTAAGGCGAATTAAAATTGTGACCTAGGATGGCCCACTCGACAGGAAGGAGTATTCTGCCCTCCTTGGTGAGTGCTAAATGCTTTTGCTGATTTGCTTCACCCTGTGGCTTTAACATGAAAGGCCTCCCCTAATTAAGGCCTTGCCTTGAGCTTGCGGGAAGATGTGGTGTCTGCGGGTCACCGTCATGGTATCCACAGCAGATACTGGTCACCTCAGGAGAGCAAGTGTCAGGTGAATGGTCCTGAAAACCAAGATCCCATTTCTATGCAAATTTACCTTAATAAGCAGGATGGAGACAAGGGGAGGGCAAATGCTAAACATATTAGAAAATCACATAAATTAGGGATGAAAAAATATCCAAGGCATGCTCTAGATATGACCTTGAGCTTGGGAAGATCTTTCCTACGTTACGTGTACCTCGGATGCAGCCTGGGTGCTTGGTCCAGGCTGGCCGTGCGTGACTTCGGTGAGAAGGCCGAGGCAGAACAGCATTGCTTCTGAGAAGCGGCTCTCTTCTCTGCCTTCCCCCACGAAGCAGGTGGTATGGCAAAGTCAACTTCACGGGCACATCACCGAACTCCCTAGCTTATAATATTAATCCTGGCTCCAAAAACCCAATTAAATAGGCCCACTCTTCACGAAATCACTTTGAAAAAAAATGTGGGTGCGTCCCATTTCCCATTTCCATTTGTGAAATGAAATCTGCTCAGATGCTGTTTGGTAAGAAGGAGATGTTCAGGGGGGAGTGGGGTATGTTCTATTTTCATTCCAAACCCAGGGCTTTGCAATTTCTCCCCTTGAAGTTACCATTCCCTGCTTCCCTAATAGCAGTGCCAACCCCCAGGGGTCCATCTTCTGTTTGATCATAAAAATGCATGGAAATTTATATCCCATTTTTCTATATCCATTAGTCTTAATTTTGAAAACTTTTAAACCAACACCAGGGAAAAAGAAAACTGAACTAACGTATTTTGTTCAGTATTTATCCATTTGTTATAGTCTGTACCTTCTACTATATATATTATCTTAAAAACATGGTAGCAACAATTACAAGACAAAAGAGAATAGGGGAGGGGCGGGGGGGAGAGTGCAGCCAGTTCAAGAGTTCAAGAACGCAATGGAACCTTCCAGCTGCTCTGTGCAGTTACAGTGCTCCTGACCTCGGGGGGAGATGAAGAGAGAGACATCTCTTTAAAGAACCTCACGGATGGATTCAATGTGCGTTTCCGTCCAGTGATCAGCTTCAGAAATGGCTGAAATGCTGCCTGCTACAGAACGCGAATGACAAGTGACAGTGTCCAGGGGCAGTCAAGCCCCCTCCTGCAGGCTCCCCCACCCACCCCGACCCTGTTGAGGATGCCATTGGTCCAAGAATCCTACCTCGGAACCATGCAGGGCTCCTGCCCTTAATGCTGGCTCTGCTTCTCACCATCCCTCTGCGTCTCTCTCCCTTTGCCCCTTTATGAATTGCGTGCAATATCCATTAGCAGCCCCGTGACACAGATCTGCTGCGGCACTTGGCAGGACCACACAGGACTTCCCCAGGCACGATTTCTCTGCCCCTGCATTTCCATTTAAGCTTCTTTTACCACCAAAAAAAAAAACCCTGAAAAATATTCAGGCTTATATACCAGGAATGTTTGTCTACTTCTAAAATACAGTCACCACATAGACGAAAACAAAAGCCACAAGACAGCTCTTTAAAAGAGCCGCCATGTGAAATCCAGATTAATTGGATGTATTCAGAAACACGTAGTTACCCTCAAAACTCGTACCAGGCGAGAAACTTCTTGAAAGATTTCAGCTCCTCCTAAGTTGGCTATGAATAGCCAAGGTTTCCGTTTTATGCATCTCTTAAAAAGAGCAATTGCATAACACCACAAAGCTGTTGGAAGATTCAGGCTCAGGACCCAAAGAAAGAAGGAGCTGGGTCCTAAATGGAATCGGCAACACCACTTCCTATTTTGCTGGAGAGAACGCTAATTTAAATATTTTGTGACTTTTTGCACCAGTTTATGCTGTAATTCAGTTATTTTTTTTTTAAGAGAGAAACATTGCTCTTTATAAATATTGCTTTAGCATATTTATCAGGACGGTAATGACAAATGTAATTTTTATTAATTTATCTTGTTATGAAATGCAGTGATAGAATACTGAGGAGTTTACATGAAAGGACTTTGACTGCAGCTACCAAGAGAAGCTTGGCTAAAAATGTAAAATTCTCCCAGCAGTTTAACTTCACATAATGTGGAGATTTGGAACCCACAGCCTTTCTATTTGTCAGGCAAAGTCCCTCCGGAGTTAATGAGAAGGCAAAGTGCTTACTCCCCGCTCTGAATTAACAAGGTCAGTTCCATTACTTTTCAGAAATAGGAAACCTTACCAGGAAAAAAAAAAAAAAAGGATTATAGCTAAGCCTCACTGTACAATGGATATGTTCTTGAAAAGTTATTAGGACTAGTGTATTTGTAAGTGGCATCATATTAGCATGCATTATAGAGGCTCATTCTACAAAGGAACCCCATGGTGAATCCCTTTACAAAATGAAAAGGAAAATTTGTTATGCAGATAACTACCTTTTAATTTATCTGTTTTAAAATCTGGGTTTTCCTGCATCTATGAGTCTTAAAACAGAGCACACCTGTGTATATCCTTCTAGCACCTCCCACCGTGGGTTAAATAAATGTTAGTTTCCTCTCTTCTTAACTCCCAGAACACTTTTTAAACACCTCACCTATTGATAGATAACAGTCTACCCTGGAGTATAGAATAGGAGTCATCAAATTTTTTCTGAAAGAAGCAGAGAGTGAATGTTTTGGGCTTTGCGGGCTGTAAACTTACAGATACTCAAGGAGGGCCATAGCCACTCAACTGGGCTGTTGTAGCCAGGAAGGCAGCCTGAGAGAATAGTATTGAATGGGTGTAGCTGGCTTCCAATAAAACTTTATTTATGGACACTGAAATTTGAATTTCACATAATTTTTACATGCCACAAAGTATTCCTGTTCTTCTGATTTTTCTTCCCCAACCCCACTTAAGAATATAAAAACCATCTTAGCTCATGGGCCAAAATACATGATGGGTGGAATTTGGCCATAGTTTGTGGCCGTAGTTTGTGGACTCCTGGTATAGATGCTTCTATCTATATCTTACTTCCCCTAGTAGTTTGTAAACTTCCTGAGGGGGGAGAGCTGTAGCTTAGTGGACTGAGTGTGGGCTTAGGAGTAGATGGGCCTGGATTTA